AAAACTATAAATCTTGCAACTTCCGATAGATATCAAGATCCTATTTCAATCCCACAAGGATTAAAGGAAGAAACTATTGGAGAGATGGCGCATCGATTTTTACAGAACAAGCTTAGTATTAGAGATATAAGAGCTGAAGCTTATGCCTTAGCCTTATCAGCATTAAATGCTAATGCTGGTTCTTCTAGGTTATCACGACTCAGAAGAGAATTAAGAAATCTTGGTGCTTCATTCCAGATAATCGAAGCCACAAAATTCCCCGATATTACAAAAGATGCTAATAAAATTCAGAAGAATCGACGAATATTTGTTGAGGAGTTTGAGAGAATTGATTATCCAGACCACTTTACGTTAGAATCGGTGAAAGAAAGATTGGACAGTTATGATACATCTACTTTGCCCAACTTACAAGCTCTCGCAGATGTTATGATAATGCTTTGTATCTGCCCTGCTGAACTTACATCTTTACGCATTACAGATGCTGGAGTAATAGGCTATGCAAAGAACCAAAGTCAGATGGATACTCCTCGAAAATTAAGATCTATGGAGAAGAATCAAGAACGAGCCAAAGAATTACTAACCTGGATACAAAATGCTATATCTTCTGGTCGAATAGGTGATCCAGGTAAGCCAGGAGTTAAATGGTTTAATAAATTTTTAAAAGACTATTATTTAATTCCTAAATATTTACGTAAATTAGGAGCAGTTTATGCTGTAGTGACGAATGAAGCGAAAAATATGGCCCACGCTTATACAATTGCTGGGGAAGCACTTCGGCATTCTTGTGACAACCATACTTCTCCAGTACAAAACTACGTCATGGTAAACTACAGGAAGTGGGGACAAAAGCCTGAAGAAGCGAGACTATTCCATCTCTATAATAATGATAACTAATCACGCTTCTTTGCTTTCACCACTTTCACAGTAAAATCTTCATCATCATTAGATGATTCAGAACTAGACCCAGATTCAGATGTGGATGAGAACTCAGATGCGGTATCATTAAAAATTGGTTTTTTTCTAGCTTTGCATAGAATATGTTGCCGAGAAATATCCGGGTTTGCTATCGCGTTTATAATATTTTGCTGAATCTTGGGTTTCACTATCTCCAGTAATTGGCAGAGAGAAATCTGAATTTTTTTATCCGATACTTGACTAACAATACTGGATAACGCATTAATAGTATTCTGTCGCTTTGTAAAAGACTTGATCACTATTTTAATACTTTCACATAATTCTTGAGACGGGTGAACATTGGTCATCCTAGCTCCGCTGATATTATCTTTAACCATTGCTTCATTTATAACAGACTTGTTATTAACTTCAGTCATCATATATTTTG